CACGTTACGATCTCATTTTTTATTTTGTAAGAATGCACAAGTAACGCAACTGGCAATCCAATTTGTACCGGAAGTGGATGTACTTAGAAGTCCGAGATGTTTACCGCCAAGAAATTGCTCAATATGAGCCCAATACTGATATTTACAGCTACTAACCACCAATACAGATGACAGAAAGCTCGTAAACCAATACACAAAATTTGACGATTTAAAAATAGCTATTTTCGAATAGATCAGTAATATGGTTCAGAAAATAGTTTAGGGATCTCCAAATATTTCGTATAGAAACTATAAATGATTTTTTAAGCACTCAACGTCTAGATCAATTGACATTTATTTAATAGTGTACCAAGCAATGATACAACAGCCCTCCATACAATATATTGTATAATTGTATTTGATGAAATTCTCTAAATATCAATCAGTCAGTATTTACCACAAAATATATGGCGATTATATAAAAAATTTACTATAATATAATCACCTGAAAAGTTATATATTAATAGAAAGAAATAGAAACAACAACATTGCTGAAATTAGAAGAACTTGCTTGTTCTGCGGTGCGTATGAGTAACCTTCTAATTCGCTAATAATATGTATACTGTAGCTAATACAAATGAATCACTCATACGCAGTGTCGCACTGGAAATTGAACGCTGTTATACATAAAAATTTTAAAACAGAAAAACTATAAAATACTTTTTTGTGCTTCTCGAAAATATGTGTGGATTTACCATGTCCGTCTGTTCGTCCGTCTGCCAGTATATCTCTCATTTTTTGAGATATCGATCTGAAATTTCACACATGTCCTTTTCTATCCAATAAGCTGCTCATTTGTCAGAACCGATATCTGACCACTATAGCTTATAGCCTTTTGCATAAAATACGGTTGTATACATTTGTACGCTGCGTAATAATGGTACTTACATAAAGACTAAACTTTTGATTTTTTTCACGATCGAAAAAATTTTGTATAATAATTATTTTTATTGCAAAAAGTAGAATTTTGAAGAAAATAATTTTCTATAATAATAATTTTTAATGAAATAAGTAGAATTTTAATAAAAACTACATTAAATAATAAAAATTATTAATGACAAAGTAGAGTTTAAAGAAATGATTTTATGCCAATAATTTTGAATGAATAAAATATAGTATTTAAAAAGAAAAATATTTTTAAAATAAGAAATTTTAATTAAAAAAGTAGAATTTTAAAGAAAAATATGTTTAAAAATTATAATTTTCAATGAAAAAAATAGAATTTTAGAGGAAAAAAATTATATAATAATAATTTTTAATGAAAAATGTAGCATTTTACAGACATTTTTTTTATTTATTTTAATTATTATTATAAATTTATCAGTGAGTAGAATTTTAAAGAAAAAATGTTAAAAGAATAATAATTTTTAAGGAAAAAAGTACAATTTTAAACAAAAATATTTCACTTTTTGTATAAAAATATATATTTATTTGTACAGCTGCTTTTTGTATTTTCTTCAAGAATTCAAATTCTGTAAGAACAATTTTTTACTATTTTTTTAAATCAAACAATATTTGTTTCCGGTGAAAAATGAAATGAAAAGCCTGGCAGCGACCAACATAAACTATTTCAAACAATATTTTATTTTTATGCGTGTATGAAATGCTAACAAAAACACAAATTGTAACTTGTGCAGTTGTCTTTCTTTAGTTATTTGTTTATTTATTGCAATATAATTGCTCTGTGCTCTCATATGCTGTCATTTAAATTCAATAAAAACTTTTTTCAATTCTGCGTGATTCTTTTTTAAAAAATAATGTTGCTAGGTATGTCTATAATATAATTTTTAATTTGTACACATTTCGCATTTTATTTTGTTGTGTGCCATTTGCCATTGTATGACTGCGTACAAAACTACACACACACGCACAACAAGTATGCACAGCAGTATTATTATAAAGTATTTCTTGATTGTTCGCATTGTTGCTGCAGTTGTGTGCGCACAATTTACCCTCTGCATCTGCGCATATTTGCGAATGCTATTACACTCATTGTAGCAACATTTATTGTTATTACTGCAAACGCATCCCCTGCCTACGCCACCTGCGCCGCATTCACGGCAGAGCAACGGCGAAAGTGCTCATCAGCGCCACACTTAGGTCTGCAGTTAGAATATTCACTGTTTTATTGTCTCCTTTTTTTTGTGTATGCGTGTATTTTGTTATTTATTTTGTCGCTTTTCTATTAATATTTTATAAATGGATGTTTTTGCATTTATATGCGCTTTGTTTGCCGTTTTGTGGCAGTAGTGTTTGTATATATTGCTTTTATGCTATAATTAGAATTTATGGTTGGTCTTTTTGTTGTGAAAGCGATGACGTAATTATACTTGTGTTAGAAAAGTTAAGTTTTTTGTGTTTAAAGTGCGCTTCGGAAACTTTATACAATTTTCATGGGCCTTATGTCGATCTAGGCATTAATATCTGTGTGTGTTATTGCCCAAATAGTGAAAATAAAATAAAAAAATTAATGTAAATAATTATATTTTTTAGTCAAATTTATTAAAAATGTCTTTAATTTAATTATCCCACTTTAGTGGTATGTATTGAGAGCACAAGAAGTGATACGCTGCGTATGAGCAACATTTAATTCTATGCCTAGTTCTCATTAGAAAATTATAACTCATACGCAGTGACATTTTTTGGACATCAATTCTAAACATAGACACAGATGCGACCTAAATCTACTTGAGGACGGAATTATGGCCTCTATATTAAGAACGTTTATACGTCAAGAGCAAATATATGAGTTTTGAGTTCAGTTATAGAAAACTTACTTTTATCTTAAAGATAATGGTAAAAGTATATATTTTTTTTCGCATTTATTTTATAAACATTTTTTATGTAATGAAATGTAGATGAGTATTTTTGTGTACCGATAATTTATGAACAGGCCTCGATATATGGCAAACTAATGTGTTTGCAATCAATTTTTCGAAATAGGAGATTGAAACACTATTCCACAATTTTTTTCGTTTTCTGAAATATTTTATATGTGTTACAATATGTTTCATTGGAAAGAAATAAATTATATAATATTTAATTTTTTTAAATAGGTAGTTACTCTGTTTCACAAATTTTGTTTTATCAAAACCGTTTGATGAAACAAAAAATAATAATTATATTTAAATTTAAGAATTTTAATTTCTTGGAAATAGCTGGTAACCCTGTCCTACAACTTTTTATGAAATACCTTTTATTTAATAAACATATGGCATCATTTGATGGAAAAGAGATTTGAGCATGGTTAATTTTCTTTGATTGTGGTAACTCTATAATTATATATAACATATATTTATATATATTTTTTATATATCGCCCTTTTTGTATACATGCTATTTTATACATTAGAATGCTACAATCTTATGTGGAGCCAAATATTTTTTGCTACAATTACAATTTAGCTGACGACAAAGTTTTGTTTAAGCCTAGGCATTTTGCAATTAATTTTTTTTTAGTGTTCATATTGTAGTGCTCGATTTGAGGGAGATACGACACAGCTTATGAAAGTGTGGCAACTCTGTATAATATACCTATATTTTTAATTTATAAATTCTGAAATACATTTTTCAAATGGGAGTAGCTTTCCAATAGTAATTATTTTTATATTATAGTAATATTTTTACCACTTGTAGTAAATTCTATGTATCATACAGGTGGCAGCTCTCAAAAATATATTCAAAATGCTTTAATGTAATTGAGCTATTTTTTAAAACGTAAATAAAAATGGTAACTTCTAAAACGAACTGGTTGTCTGAAAGACAGCACTCTTGTGAAGTACAGTGCGTATGCGTAACATTCTGATTAAGTGTAATACCTCCTACAGTTTTTGGTAGCTCATACGTTGTGTCGTACTTAGTAATTTCAGCAAACAAGACTAAATTATAAAATTCTTTCACTTTCAATCTTTCGACAGTATATTTTCTATGATTTTATTTTAAAAGTTGGCAATGGCTGTCAGGTATTTCGTCCTCATGCATATTAAGAAGCAGCGCTTTTGTACGTTTCTAATTTAAAAAAATTTTCAAAACGGTTACTGTAATGACACCTTCAACGTACCTTCAACCACATACTTGTTTATTTTGGATCTTTTCATTATATTCCTTTGAAATTTTCTTAGTATCCAAGCAGTAAATGTGTTTGGTAGCTAATTTCCGTTTGACGTTACCACGTATCTCGTGACACTTGACTGACGGCTGCCAAAAAATTTTAAAATTTCTTATAATAATATTACTCATAATTTATATTTATTTCAATTTAAATTTATTCACAGTTCCGACTAACAACGTAAGCCATCAACTATACCACATGCAACATAAACTACCTAACTAATAAATAACAGTTTCGACATGCAAAAGGAGGGTTATTAGTTGCAGCATGTCTGCATACAAAATACCAAAATAACAAAAATCAAAAAGAAAGCAGAGCGACTGTACTTTTGCCTTTTTCCGCACACAAATTTCGTCAAACAAAAATATGCATTATTTCACTTTGCTTTGTTTCAGCCGTTGCTATTCTGTGCGCCAACAGCAAAGTTTTTTCATTAAAAGATACTTGCCTGTCTCGACAGTCATCTATACGAAAACTTGTGCTGCCAAATTGCAAGCAGTAAAATTTTACGTATTTCCTATCCCTCCAATTTGTTGTACAAATGTCTAACAATTTTTTTTCTTTTTTGTGGCAGCTAGGTTTTAATAAAAGTTTTTACATATTTCTACAACTAATTTATCCTTTTTTTTCCATAGTTGCTACCCTAACAGTTTTCACTTTGGGAAAAAAATTTACTTTCAATTCAGTAATATTGCAACTACAAATAACTGCTTCGAAACATAGCAGACATTTTTTTTGGTATATAATATTTTTACCGTTATCTGCTTCTACTATTGCATGTGTATTTTTGTTTAAAGCTGTAGTTTTTTGAGACATTCAAATAAGGGTTGTTTTTTCCTTTTTCATTTCAGGTTTTCTCTCATGGGACGTCGGTGATTGTCACGTCGATTTGGAAGAGGAATTGAATACGATCACGCAACACGCACCCGAAGGAGAGGAAGCTCGTCACGGTAAGTCTGATTTACTTAGGTAATACATATGATAAAATTTTGAAGAAAGACAATTTTATTTAAAAAAAAATATTTGCTGTTGATTCAAACAAGTTATTTTTTTATTTTTCTACAAATGCAAATAAAATATCAATAAATAGGGGATTCAAAATTTAGTACTAGAACAATTATTTTGTGCAATTTTTCCGCTTCAAATAAGACAATTAAATTTTTTTTTTTTAATTTTGTATTAAGTATTTATTATTATAAATTTCTTGATTTCAAAAAACCAGTTTAGCAAACCAGTTTCGGAACATCAATTAAAGAATTAAACACTTATACCATAACAATTGCGTATGAACTCAGGTTCACCAGTGCGTATGAGCTATCAATGCGAAGAAAAACGCTGAAAATGTTGCTCATACGCATTGTACTATATTAGATACTTAGTACTATATAATATTGAAATATGGTATCCAGTATTTTATTTATTTATTTATTTCATCTGGTACAGGTCTATAGAGATGTTTAACATCTGTGCATAGAACCAGGGAATATTTTTTTTTATTGAATGATTTTTTTTTTCTTCGTGCAGAAATTAATATCAAAATGGTCATTTTAGGCTAGTACAGTGGTTAAGAAGACAATGTTGCTTTTTTCGGTTTAATATTGCTTCAAAATGTGTTTAGATTTTAAACTAAACTTATTAGAGCTAAAAGTTTTCATAACAAAAAAATTATTTTCATATTGAAAATTCCCTAAAAGTGAAATTTTCAAACGGAATTGAAATTTTAAGGTGCTTGCACACTAAATATGTTATAAAAATTGTTCTTAGCAAATTAATAACAATAAAAAAAAGCAAAAATGTTAAAAAAAAAAATTTAAATAAATATTGAAAATATTTATTTATTAATGCAGCTAATTAACATATATAAAATATAGTTCAACAAAATATTGAACTATAATGCCAAATTTGCGAAATTCTATAATGTTCTACATGTTGTTTTAATCTAAAATTTATTTTTTCGTTTCCCAGGAGACTTTAGTAATAGTTGTTTTAAATTAAAAGATATGAACAAATAAAAAATATATAATAAATACCTAAAACTTTATATATACAAAAAGATATATAAATAAAAAATTCGCTTATGAGACACTCAGTTGTGCCGAATATATTATCTACTTATACCCACATGAGTATATAATTTGAGTTAAAGTGCACACTCTTCAGCTGAAATTACATCATAAGAGTTATATTCATCACTAACACTCACTTGCCTCCACCAACACGCGGTTTTATGTACACTCTTCACCAGCAATGCTTACATATCGGTGCTTCATAGCCTAAACTGCCTGCATACGTCGACACATTTTAACATTTTAATTTGTTTAATTTTTTTATATTTTATTATAATTTATTCTCTTATATTTTGAACTTTTTTTAATGTTGTCATATACTTTTTAAAATTTTTATTTTATATTTTTTAAGACTTTTCGTCTTATTCTTTGATATTTTTGAGCTTTTTTAATGTTGTCATATATATTTTTTTTAATTTTTAATTTTTAATTTTTAAAATTTTTATTTTCTATTTTATTTTCTATATTTGTTTGTTAATTTGACAACTTTTATATCGTTTTAATATTTTCGTAAAAGTTTTCTTTTAGGTTTTAATTTTATTGTGCTTTTAATACACGCCATAAAAATGTTTTTGAACTCTGTTGACACTTTTAATCCGAGCGTAACGGGAGAATTTCCACCAAATGCGCGCATTTGACGCTGTGCAAATGTAGATGTAAATATATACTATAGTATTCCACAAGCATACAGCTTGCTCTACACCTGCTGACTGCTCGTGCAGTTATATGCGAGTGGCCCCCTGAACCCATACTACAGTTTTGTACATTGAACGTGCTTGACCAAGGGCTTAAATAGTAATCGCATACTTTTTCATGCATACATTTATGTTTGCATGCATGTGTTTGTGTGCGCATTATGCCATTTCATTTCTCATATATTCATGCTTTTCCATTTTCTGAAATTTTTTCACATTTACCTACATGTTTCCGCACCTTTTCCATTACTACAACGTGCCTTTATTACAATTTACTATCAACCCTTGTTCCTCACAATGCCGTTTTCTCATTTTCTCCACTTCCTATTTGTAATATATATTTCGCTGAAACACACTTTTTATGCTTCTAGGAAATTTCATTCAATTTTTTTTTTTGTTAATTTTTTTTCTTGTTTTTCACTTCACATTACTTGGCTCATAATAAAATTAAAATTACCACAGCGTAAATAGTTGGCAAGCCAATATGCCTGAGTGACCAGGTGGAAGGCATTAAAAAGCATGTCCGTGCGCATGTATGTGCGTCTGAGTGCATATTTTTATATATTTAGTTTTCGAATGAGTATGCTTTTATGGTTATATGGTATAAGTAAAGCATAAGCACAGGTACCAGCGCACTTGAAAAGTATACACACATATTTAGACCATTACAAACCCACACATGGCACTTGAATGACTCTTGATGGCTGACGTGACTCAGCCAGAAATAACTTTTCTTTTACTGCAGTTTTTTGGGCCAAACTAATAAAAATCGCGTAAATTTTTCATATAACCCAGATTTATAGAGATATAAGGATAGTGGAATTCTCTCGAGCATATAGAAATTATTAAAGAAGTAACATCAAAAAATTATCATTTATCTGTCATATATTCAGGCCAGATCAAGTCTTGCGACTTTTGTGAATTGCTTGGAACCTTTTTCTATCATAATTTATATAAGGTCTCTAATAATTCGTAATTATATCTTTATATATATATACATGTAAATATGTCATATACATGTATATGGCAGATACTTAACTAAGAAATTTCAATATTATAATTCGATTCCGAGGTTAAATACTAAGTGGTCAGTCTGTAAGGGATAACTTGCCTCCAAAATTGTGATTATTTCCGAACAGCAACATTTCCACATTGAAATTACAACACGAACCCTGAAACTATCTTCCGAGTGAAGAATAATCTGTTTATAGTTTTCATGATGAACTGTTTCGAAATCACAAGCCACTTAGTGGTTACCGCCCTTCCAATATGTAACGGAAAGTATCTTTAGTCGTTAGAAATATTACAAACAATTTAAATATCAAATTTTAGTAAACTTAAGTATAATAGAATTGTAGACGAGAGAAAGAGAGAGAGTAGAATAATTCTGAAACCAGAGTAACTACGATAGATGTCGCCATGGTTCAACCAGTTCAATTATGCACAAAAGGTATAATAACTAAAAAAATACTAGTCTTTCTAATCTTTAAACTTCTTACATAGACCAATTTTTAAACTGCAGCTCAAGTATTGAATACTTCATACAAGAACTGTTTCCGGCTGGAAAGACACCAGGAATCGTTCTAAAAAGCTTTAAATAATTCCAAAGTTGAACCTGAATGTTTAAAAATAAAATACGAAACTACTTCCGAGCATCTTTTTCCCTTTAATAGAAACCATTTCACTTAAATGCAGCGATATTACTATTTTTAAATAAAAAAAATTTATTTTTACTTTAAAAACAATTTAAAAAAAATTAAATCTTAAAAATTATTTTAAAAAAATATAATAAATTTCAAACGACGGCTGAAAACGAGCTATCTGATATGTTGCGAAAATACTATTCACAATAATATTTGTTAAAAAAATGTATTACAAAAAAACATGAATTCAAATAAAAGTTAAGAAAACTTATGTTATAACAACAACATACTATTCACAACTAATTTATATAAAAAAAATATAAAAAAAAACTATTCAAATAGAAAACTATTCTTATAGATTAAACAAAATAAAATTTAAAAAAAATTGGAATAAAAATTTAGAAAATATTAATAGTGTACTAAAAACATATATTAATTAAAACGAAAATGCCATCTAAAACTAGAATTCGGTAAAAAAAAACTATTTTATAAAATATATATAAACGTTTTTGAAAAACTTTATCAAAGTTAAAAAGAAAATTTATTTACTTTAAAATTTCAATATAATTAATTTTCCCAAAACTATTAATAATTAAAATTTTAAAAATCAAAAGACACCATGAAATAATTTTATATAAAGAAAATGCTTTGAAAACTATATTTAATTTAAAAAAACATAGTTTTCAAAAAAATTATAAATTTGAAAAATATTTTTAAAACCAAAAATCAGCATACAATTTTTCTATACAACGTTAATTAAAGAAATTAATTCAAGTTTTCAATAGCATTTTCTTGAAATTTATATAGAAAAGTTTTATGCTGTTTTTGGATTTTTAAAATGTTTTGTAATTTATAATTTTTCCAAAATTAAGTTTTTAATTAATTAGAAAAATGTTTTGAAATTAAAATTTTTTTAATTAGTTTGAAGATTTTTATGTTGTTTTTAATTGTAAATTTTTTTCGAAATTTATAGTTTTTTGAAAACTAATTTTTTAAATTATATATAGATTTAAAATTTTGTATAACGTTTCTCAAATGTTGTATAGAAAAATTGTATGCTGATTTTTGGTTTTAAAAATATTTTTCAAATTTAGAATTTTTTTGAAAACTATGTTATATAAAATTATTAATAGTTTTGGGAAAATTAATTATATGAATTTCAAAAATTCTCTAAATCGAAAACGAGTATGAAATTCTTCTTTAAAATTTGCAAAGAAAATGCAATATGCAATTAGTTCAAAGCTTTAATTTTCAAAAAACTATAAATTTTAATAATAATTTAAAAATATAAAATAAAAAAAAAAATTCAATTCCATACTTGACCCTCAAGCTGCTGCTGAAAAAATGTCGAGGCAATTAAATGCTTTTATGAAACCATTTGAACCACAAGCAATTTAGTATTTTCTTTATTTAATGAGCGCTTGCTGTGTGTGTGTGACATATAATTTGAGCCACCTTGACTTAATGGCATTTGCACCTGCACTTAGAAACAAAATACGGCGTGCTTATGCAAGCTTTTGGCATTATGGCATTTAAATGAGTTTAGCCCAACAACCAAAAAAGGGAGCAACAACAATAAAAAC